GTTGGCAAGCGAGGCGGCTGCTTCACAAGTAAAAGAGAGGCGGCTGCTTCACAAGTAAAAAATGGGCGGCTGCTTCACAAGTAAAAGCGAGGCGGTTGCTTCACAAGTAACAGCAAGGCGGTTGCTTCACAAGTAAAAAATGGGCGGCTGCTTCACAAGTAAAAGCTCCACATCCATCGCAAACGTCACAAGTATCCACTTCACAAAAGTCCCCGCGTTGCACAATATCTTTCTTGCAAAAGTAAGTGAGCTCACAAGTAAGCTGAGACACTGGGCCCATAACCATTGCCCACGGAGACCGGCAAAACAATCAGCGTTTCTTGTCACACAAGTAAGCAAACATGGCCCCCGCGCCTTTGTTTCTTTTTTCTCGCATTGCACAGCCTCATCGCCCGTTGCAGCGAAAAAACGCAAAGACCTGCTTCTCTTCCATATTCACATCGAATACCAAAACTGCCACGACAGAATTGCTTCTGAACTCCATCGCGATCGCAAAAGCGCTGACACTGGCCCAGGATCAACGTCCTCCCAGGCTGTCGGTGTCTATCCCAACCGCCCAGGCCGCAAATATCCAGCCGCTCATGATACCACAAGCTGTGTGCTAGCCAAGAAAACTGCAATCACAGGATGTAAGCGCACAGCCTTCGAAGCCGCGACATGCGCACGTAAATCAAACGATTCATGGGGAGCTCGAGGGAGGCAAGACCATGTCTCAAGTAAAACACATTGTTCAGAAACATGTTCCCACTACTCAATGCTAAGAAGAATGTTTGGACTCAGGAAAAATGCGTTCGAGGCAGCTCACGAAGTATACCAGAAAAAATACTGAAAAATACTGCTTTTTTTTTTACTAGTAATGAAATTTACATTTACTACTAAATTTATTTACTAGTAAATTTACTTTACTTGGCCTAGTAAAATGAGATTAGTAAATAGTAAATTTTAGAGTAAATCGCTGCCATACTAAAAGTTACTACTTTTGCAGACTTAGGGTACTTGTAAAAGCATTCCCTTGCGACGATGCGGCAACACCGGAGGCATCTTGTGAATCTGAAACCTGAGGTGCTCCAACCGGCTGATGGGTTCCTGGGGGAACTGTGCCCTGACTTGAGGCTTTAGCCGCGCTTGATTCCGTAGCTGTTTCGGCTATTGATGCGGCTTTTGGCGGGGACTCTTGAATCGGAACAGGGGTCGCACGAGCTTGTTGAGTGAGGTGCAACAACACGTTCGAAATCACCCAGTCGTTGATGCATCATAGAATTTGCCTGGGATAATCCACGAATGGTATGCTCTTGACTGGCAATGGTTTGTTCTCTTTGCGAGACTGCCTGTTGAGCCTCTTGAACAATGCGTTGAACCTCTTGCTGAGCGTCCTGTTGAGTGGCATTAACAACCTGTCGTGCGTTCTCGACATGGCCAATGGCTTCCTGTCGTGTCTGCTCGATTAGTTGCCTAGCCTGAGCCTCACTTTGTTGTGCTGTTTGTACAGCCTGCTGTGCTTGCGAAGCTAGCTGAGCGGCCTGAACCCTAACGTCTGATACTTCTCTTACAGCCCTTCCCTGATCCATCCGGCCTCTTGTCTCGCCTGGTCGGCGGCCTGCTGTTGGTGCAAGGCGTGATTGGCTGCCTGAGCAGCGAGGTCGGATGCTCGATGAGCTTGCTGCACCGCAGCTCCAGCTATAAATGCCGCAGCGGGTACGTTAGTCATCGGGTCAGGTAATTGCGATCCCTGTGAAGGAAACTGAATGGCTGGGGAAGCTTCGGATGATGTAGGTTCTGACACGATCGGACCACTCGGAGGTGATGATGGTCGTGTTTGGGCTGCTCGTTGAGGTGTGGATGTGCGAACTGTGGACATAGCTGCAGGAACCATGGCTAGGTCAGGGTCATCCGGTTCAGAATCCCTATTTGGGGTTGACCTTGAACGGGGTTCTGATGGCGGTGATAAGCCCGTTGAAGCCATGACACAGCGATGCAATTTTGCACTCACACGAAGCTAGCTCCACGCGCTTTGAGCAGCGTGTCAAAAGGTGCTACGAGGAGATATCCCTGGATTGGCAGCTGGTTGCGAAGCGCTCAAGTGAGCCACTCAAGAAAATACGCCCTGCTGCTTTGCACCTGATGAATTCTGTATTTGTAATTGTACTTGTAGATTGATTGATCCGCACTGCCGCACTATGGTGCTTTATCGAGGGATGTTGCCAAGCTGTATTGAGAATTTGTCTGCAAATCGAATGCCTGTAGCTGCAAAGATGCTGTACCGCGCAAAGCGACGGTTTTAACGGCTTGCAAAGAAAGGCTATCGAAGTACCCGATTGGCGGGCAACTGGGATGCAGACCGATGGAGTTCCTCGAGGTACTGCGATGGATGCAGGCCCCTTGCCGCCGGAATGAAAAGTCGATTCCGGGACTCGATGTACTCCCCAAGGTTCTCAAGCGCGTTGGCAAATCCGCTCGGCCCGAAATGCGGGAAGTTGCGGAACGCTGCGATGCCTGTCTTTTGAGCTTCACGGACAATCGCAGCTGTATCGTCGATGAGGGCGTGGGCACCCAGCCCCTGAAGGGCGTCTGCTTTGCCTCCCCTACCCAACCTTTCGTGTACGATTTTTATCGCAGAGAAAGTGAGTCCAGATGTCGTCCGCGCGTGCTCCAGGGCGACCTGGAACTCGCGGCGGCGATACTCGCTTGCAGCCCTGCCCACGAAGGATAGCACCACAAAATTGATAGGTGCGTAGTCGGCTGCAAATTGAACGAGATGTCGGATCACCTCCGGGTTGAGGCGGGGTCCCTGCTGCCAAACGTCAAGAACTCCGTGCCAGTCAAGAGCGATGATGAGCTCCTTGGGCGGCACAGGCCTTCCAGGCGGCGGGGGTGGCGCAGGCGGTGGCCTTCTTGGAGGCGATCGAAAGCGTGTGCCAGCCTCGGAAGTTGCAGCGCTAGCAGCAGCTGCTTTAACGACCTGCGGCGGTGGCGGCTTGACGATGTACCCTTGTGGCGGGTTTGAGCCCGATTTGCTTCTGGGTTCGGCCTTGTTCAAACCTCGCGGAGGCGCCTTGTACCCGAATGCACTCTGAGTCCGAATAGGAGACCTTGCTCGAGGCGGTGATTTCCTTGGAATATCCGCTTTTGCCGGTACCGAAGAAGCTGCACGAGGAAGTTCCTTGGGCAATGGAGGCTTGCTGCCAAAAATGACCTTTGGTGCGGCCTTTGGTGGCGGCGGTTGAATTGCTCCAATCCTCCGGCTATGCAAAGCAATAGGCTCAGTGTGAGTCGGTGCCTCGTATACGCGCCGAGGCACGTAAGCTGACCTGCCAGTTCTGATGGATTCCGCGTCCTGCGGAGGTTCCTCTTCCGAGCTGTAGGCGTCGAGGCGATAGTGCTCCGCTGGCCCTGGGCGTCGATCTGGAGATCGTGATCGCGAGCTTGTGGATGATCTTCTTGGGGGATCTCTCCACGTCTCGTCCGCAAGCGAATACGGGTCAGCCTGACGGAGATGTCCGGATCGTCCGCTGTGAAGCCTCCCGAACGAGTACCCAAGTGCCGTGCTCGTCAAATCGTGTCACAGGGTATATACTGTTCTGTGGAGCCAATACAATGGGCCGTGTGGCAAGGGAAGTCCTGGATGGCCTGCCCTCCCGCGCAAGCGCGGGTTCAACACTGTGTGCCCGATGTTCCACAGGGGTAGCAGCAGTCGGTCCTCGTCTCGGAGGCGATGGAGACCTCGACCTTCGGGGCGATGGGGACCTCGATCTTTGTGGCGACCGTTCCCTGCTGCTCTCCCGCCGCGTTTCCGCAGCTCTAGCGTACACCCCGCGAAGCGCTGTCTTGGCGGCGCCCCGCAACACTTGTCTTTCCTCTGCTGATGGTCGGATGCGAGGCAATGGAGTGCGCGAATCTTGTAGCCAGGATGAAGCTGAAGGAGGCGTCGGAGGGCGTAGCCAGTCCGCTGCACTGCTCGCTGCTTCCGCCGCGCCAGAGGCTGCGGCTTTATCCTGAGATTGCACACCTTGCGGCAAGACCACACCTGCGGTTTCAACCGATGCGAGACGCTGCTGATAAGCGTTGTCCGCGGCCTGGATCACTTCGAAGGCCTCTTGGTCAAAATCCCACAGGTGCCAACTATCCAATGACTCACGCCAGGAAAAGAGCGCCTCGATCTGTTGCTTCGAGGCGTCTGCAAACCTGACCCACCGGAATCGTCTGTTCTGCCGTTTGTACTCGTCAACGACGATCTGTTGCAGAGTGTTGAATAGACGGGCACGCGGCCCTTTCCCACCGCGAGTGCCGCGGTGAGGGCCGGCTTCCATGTGCGACCAAACGGTCGCAGTCACGGAGGGGTTTGTTTACCCGAAAAGCGTTACGGCTGATAACCACTCAAAGGAGAGGGAAACACAGTTTTGTCAACAACGGGGGAACCCGGGACCTTAAAAGGAACGAACCCCTCCGTGACTGCGACCTCTCCCTTAACCTTGTGGGTAGCGCGAGCAACGCGCTCTTTTCAGCACTTGAGCCAAATGACATGCGGACATGTCATCTGGGCTACCAAAGAGACCAAAAGAACGGGGCCCTGTTGCCCGCTCTTTAACCCCAAAAACCAAGAGGTGGGCCCAGAGTCAACAAGCAGGTTACGATTCCAGGAAAAACCACACTGCCCAAGAAACGGGCAAAGGAACTCTGCCACAAGTTGACTGGAGACAAAGGGAACGAGATGTTGGCGACTCCTGAAGCTTGAGAGAGAACGCGTGATCGCTCCCGTGAAACGCGTTCCTCTCGTCTTCCTCAAGAGATGCCCCACATCAGGTTGCAGCTGGGATCTCTGAAGCTAACCAGCAGGTAGTTTTGTTCCAACTCATCTCGCCTTCGAAAAACACGGATCCGGATGCATTATACACCGCAACATTGCAACTTGTAAATGGTGGTTTCCAACTTGATTTTGGTGTTGAAAAAGCAACATGTTTCAAATGATTGCAAAATGTATCATTTAAGGAGCCCTGAAACATCTAGCCAGCTTCACCACGCCGAACCGCCGAACCGCCGGGCGGCTGTTGAGCCAAGCTCTGCTTCTCCTCCCAAGTCCCGTTGTGAAGAGGCCCGATGTCCAGGATGGAGATCGGCGCCTGAGCCGAGAGAGCCTTTCTGGGGCTTTCTTCGGACCAATGTCCGGCAGAGCGAAGAGCCTTTCTAGGTCTCCTTCCGTCCATGTGGTCGTCTTGCTTTGAGCCCCTGTCTGCTTTCCTGTGGGTGTTGTGTGAAGGCAAAGCAGCGAATACAACAAAACACCTTCATCCCATGTTGAGGGGGTTCCGTATTCTAGGTCCTCCAGTAGAAAGCTTAGAATAAGGGTACCAACTTTTTTCTATTCTGTCTATTTTAGTAGGGGAACCCTCCCAACCAACAAAGAAACGGGTGAGTCAAAGGGCACCAATTGCTGTGGGACCTAGGTATTCCACCAGACCTACCAAGGCTCCCTCCCTGGCCTGGAGAGCTTGCTCCAGGCTCTTCACATCTGTGGGTTCCCCCAGCTTGGTCTGGCTGCCGGAGCGCGTGTAGAGCCCTGCGCGCTGAAGTCGGCCCAGCAATCAAGATGGAACTTTCATGAGGGCTTCTGGTGGGTTTCATGTCAGCGGGTAGAGGAAACTACCTCTAAATCTGCCCAAACTGTCTAAAGCAGGAGCCAAATCTTCATGTCCCCCGCCGAGGTCTCCAAATGTTTGTAAAGTGACCTCCTTTCAGCCATTTTGAGTCCAGTTGGGTGTGGTTCAAATTTTAAAGGCTAGGGTTAGGGGTTAGGCAGGCTTCTTCAGCCGACGAGAAGCCGAATTGATCAGCCTTCTGCTTCTTCATTTCGCTGGGACATTATGCACCCATGGGCTCAAGGCACTTCCACGGACCTCCCCAGACTCAACGAATGGCCAAAAAGCCAGGCGCTCAGACAGCCAAAGCAGTGCCAACTTACGTCCACACCCTGCTTTCGCCCGGGCACACATGAGCCTTGCTGACCGACCCCAAGCGAATTGTTGAGGGTTTAGGTTTTGGTTTAGGCCTAAGACCGCCCCCAGGCCAACTGTTTTGGGTTTAGGTTTTGGTTTAGGCTTAAGCCAGGCCAACTGTTTTAAGTTTAGGTTTGTGTTTAGGGTTGAGACCCGCCCCCAAGTCCAGTGGATGTATGATGACTCTTAGATCAGCCACAAAGCTGGAAACATCACATGCGCGGGGGTTCCCGCGGTCGGCAAATGCCCAGCAGTTGCTTTGTGTTGCTTCCTATTGCAGTGACCCTTGGCCCCTAGACACCTCGACGGGCCACCTGGGCCATGTTCTAAGTGGTTTCCATTGATTGACAGTGTTTGTGTTAGACCGCCATGCGTAAAAACATGCTGCTTGCCTGGGACGAAGCATCAAGCAGCTCAAACAAGCCAAATGATTCGTTCACCTCGAGAGCAACCACGTCGGCCAAGCGCGAAATGGTCCTCCAAAGGTTGGCTTCGATTCGATTCGATGCCTTGTGCCATGCGCATCAGGTCTTGCTTCCTGGGCAAAGCCACGCGGATTCACGTGTCCGCAATGGATGAAAGGTTGGGTATGAGTCAAACTCTGGGGTCCCCAAAACACGTGGTTTTCCCGTTTGGCTTGCCTTCCCAAAACCTGATGAAACCAAAAGAAACACACCTCCCTCGAAACGTCCTCCGGGGATTTTTGACCAGGTCCCAGGTTCTAAGCCACTGGGCCATTTCCAGCCCCCGTCCCAAAGATAGAAAGTTCGCCGTTCACCAAAGGAAAGCCTATCAAAGCTGCTGTTCACCAAAGGAAACCAACAGTGTTTGAAGATAGAAAGCCAAAGGAAACCCCTCACCGATTGTCTACCCTTTCGTGCTCAACCCTGCCATTCGCCCAGAATCAAATACCTGGATGTTCGCATGAGCCACAGTCAATCGTGTTCAGCCACTTCGGGCACAAACCCAAAGGCGGTATACCCAGCCGACAAAGAGTGCCAAGTGTCGTCTTGTTGTAGATCGGCAGCTTGCTGGCCCAGTTCATCATCTCTCCCACCCACGTTTTGTCGTAGAGCGGCTTCGACCTCCGGCGGATCATGAGCTGGGCCAGGCTTCTGTGATAAAGATTGCGAAAGCGAGAACTCCAAAAAGAAAGCGAGCCTTTCCTCAACCATTTGTCTGGCCATTTTCGCAAACTTTGGAACGTAAAGTCGCGTCAAACCGCCTGTGTCTCCTATCACAAAGGATCTTTCTTGGGCGAGACAACAACAGAAGCCCAGCAGCATTGCAAGGCAACCCCTTCTGGTAGGACACACCAAAAAATACTCACAAGGAAAGCATCTTCTTTGGGCATAAACAGGGAACATGAGGTTGCCTTAGGGTAACCCAGGCAAACTGCCCTTTTCTTCTGCGCTTTCAAGCACCCCCAACCATAGGAACCCTAAAATATGGTCCGTCCAAGCTCAGCCTCAAACCGAACCAAGGCGCCCATCCCGCTTGCAGTGCTCGCACTCCACTACGGCGTCATAGTCCGGAAGCACGTAGGCCTGCCGACTGCGTCTCAAGTTCGACCACACGTCATCCATTTGGCTGTGGCTCTAAATTAAATAGCTGGAAATACGCGGGTTTTAGTATTTGGCTCCATTTACCAAGGTGTCATTATTGGTACCACTTTTTGGAGCCACAGCCATTAACATATCCCGCAAACATTTGTAAACCATTAAAAAATCGTCATAAACCGGTACCAAAATGGAACCCTGGTAAGTGGAAACATGAACCAACACCTGCGGAACCTCTCCTATTTAATTTTAAGCCACACCCAAATAGCTGGGGCAAACCGTTCTATTTAGTCTTTGGCTCCAGAGACACCAAGGCGCCATTTTGGTACCACTGTTTTGAGCCACAGCCACTAAGATGTCCCGAAGTTGGGCAGCCACAAAAGGAGTATCTTCAATTCAGCGACCAGAAATCTGCCAAGTTCACCCTGCCGCAATTCTTGCCATGCTTTGTGGCCAAAGCTTGGGTTCCACACATTGGCACCATATGCCACGGGCTCAGCCCTGAGATCTCTCGCAGAGCTGTTGGAAAGGGCCCTTTTGCACTTGCATGTGAGTTGGTGGAAGGGTAGGAGTTGATTTTTCCAAAGATTTCCAGGGCACCAACCCGAGGAAGTAATACACTACTCCCATACCCCCGGTCAAGATCTCGCCCGCACCCCGAAACCCGGCCATCAGGGAAATGCGATCTGCGTCCGCATGGCCGGGCACGGGGTTCTGCACGCGGTGCACCACGTGCTTCAGACCTCAGCTTCGTCGATTTGTGGCGGCCCGTTTGACGCAGTGGCCCCACCAACCGTTGAACACAGGGACCTCTCACTTTTGTGGCTCTGGGTGAACATGAGGAAAAACCGACCGGCTGCTGCTACTGCTACTGCTACTGCTACTGCCACTGCTACTGCTGCTGCTGCTACTACTACTACTCCTCTCCACACACAAAAACACCAACCTTGTATACCCACATGTTCTGTGAACATGTACGGGTACTCATATTCTCAAGGGTACACCCTCACTTCCATACATTTCCTCGCGGGTAGGGTTCTGCACCTCTCCCCGTGTTTGGCCAAGCTTCGGCCGTTGGACCAGCGGCTCATCATCCTTGGCCGAGAGAAGTCGCGAGAAACCAAAGGCCCAAAGGATCTGGCACCTCGACGAAAATGGAAGTGGATAACCAACAGAGCGGAAAGCGCATGAGTTGGTCCGGATCAATCTGAAGTATGGGCAACACCCAAAAACACGTTGTAAGGATTTAAGAAGAAAACAAAGTTTGCTGGAAGGAAGAAACCAACCACTTGCAGGGCTCGTATTCCCGTTCCTAGAAACACTACGGAGACGCATGGGTGTGTTTGTTTCAGGGTGTCCTTTCCGGGGTGGTTGACAAAACAAGTCAGACAATAAAAACAACCCCGATTCCCCTCATTTCGGAGACACACCCAATATGAACAACAGCAACACCAACTAGGTCCTCCAGTAGAGAGGTTAGAATAATGGTACCCTTTTTTCTGTATAGTCCATTTTAGTAGCGGAACCCTCCCCCAAAAAAGTCGATTTAAGCGCACCTAGCTGGGGGACCTCGCCAACCAAGACAACTGGATGAAGAACATCTCTCCGCCTGTGCCTAGATAGAAGGCTGAAACTGCTAGACAGGAGTCCTGGGCTTGGGAAAAAAGATGCTTCATGCCTTCTGTCTCAAAGTGATGCGACCTCTGCCCTTCACTGGAGAGGGCGTATGTCTTTGAGTGACTCAACCTGACAGTGGGGTTCCTCCACCCCTTTCAATTTGGGAAGCAGCAAGAGATCTACACTGTTCGGGGGTCCAACCTTCTACACCTTCTACACTGTTGGACAAATAATTTGTCCAGAGTAAAACAACAAGAACTGCACCTGACCGACCCCGCCCCCCCATATTTGAAGGGAAACCCAAAAGAAACTGTTTTGGGGGATCTCAATGGGCTGTCTCAAATAGGGGACCCGCAAAATTGGTAGCTGTCCACCTCTTTCCCCCGAAAAATGCTCCAAGTTGCTTGAAAAACCTCAATTTGCTTGTTCATTTGGAGTTGGGACCCTCAAGTCGGTGTCTCAAAACGGACAAACAACCCCCACACCTCGCTCCCGAGCACCGATGTCGCCGCGGCGCTCGCCGCAGTTCACCACGAAGCCACCGGCCGGGCGCACCACGCTCTGCCACTCCGTGGCGCGGCCCTCGGGTTTTCGGTTTTCCGCTTCGACTCGCCGAAACGCGTCCAAAGCGGTAGGCCGTACGGCCCGGTTGTTTTTTTTGGGGGCGCGTGTGCCCTGTTTTTCAGATCCAAGTACCTAAGGATGGCTTTTGGGGGGGGGGAGAAATGGGGGTTTTAAGGCGTTTGATCACAATGGGGGTTGCTTTAAAAGGACCGCAGGACACCGCCACCTGTGTGGTCCCCTATTTTGACGCATACCCTTTTGGAAGGTCTTGAACAGGACAGCAACCAGCAAGCCTTGCATTTTTTCGGGGGTGTCCTCAAATTGGGGACCATGTTGTTGGGTCCAGCAAAACCAAAGGAAACCAGCCGGGTGTGTCCATCTCCAAGTGGTTACATGGAGGCAGATCTGACACTCTCCCTTGGTCACTCAGAAACACCGGCATCCAAAGCGTCGCCTCCACTTCTGCACGGCCATCCACGCCCTCGCCAGTCTCCTGACGTCCAGCGCCGACGCGCAGGATAAACGGGGAGGTGATGAGTCACTGGAGACCAAGGGAAATAAGCATAACATTTGAACGCTTTCATTCGGAGCGTGATGGGAGGTGACTATTTTGGGATCAACCAGTCTGCCTTACGATTTCGGCGAAAAACTCTGCAACCCTAACCTCATGTTGTTGTCGTTGTTGTGGGGAACCAAAGACAAACCGCTCTCCGCGCCACACCAACCTGCAATACGGGTTTTGCCCCCCCCAAAACAGAACCATCATAAGGCTTCACGGTCGCAAACCAAAACTCTTTGTGAAACAGCCATCTGCCCAAGCGCACTTTGCACACAGTCTCACATGTCAGCCTGTACCACCAGCCCAACAAAAGCTCAACTCACGTCTGGCTCTCCCTGCAACACCAAGTGCAGAAAGCACAGGGAGAATGTACAGAAACAAAGTGGAGCTTGGTGATTGAAGTCACCGTTGAGCCCGTGACATCTCTCAGTCACAAGCCATGAAAGCATGAGATTCATCAGGGCTGCGTTGCTGGAAGCTCCTGCAAACTTCGAGGATCAACTTGCGCGGTCATTTTCCGCGGCCTCGAAGGATGTTTGAGACATCCACCACGCTTCACCACACCCTGAGGCATGTTCTCTGCTGCAAAATCGGTGGTTCAGCTTAGGGACCCTATGGACCCTCACAAAGCCTTGTGGCGGTTCAGGTTGCTGGCTTCCCTTCCGAATTGATTGAGAAGGGTGGCGATCCGCAAACAGAAGAAGCCGAAACCGGCCTTAGCTCAATCGAACAGGCAGCCCAAAAGCTCGGCAGCTCGAATATCACACGGAATCGACCGAGCTCAAGCCAAAAAGTTGGTATTTTCCTGGCTGGGTTCAGGAAGTGCTGACATGACAACCCCAATGGATCTCCCCAAGAGGCCCGACATCCCGATAGATTCCTGTTTGGAAATATCTTTGGGTCACTAGTTCGCCGGGCAATGTCAGGAATTACGGCATCTCAGGAACCACGTCTGACTGATGAAAGGAAAACTGGGCCACAGCAATTCTCTGCCGAATAGTTCAATTACCAGTCCCACCAAATCTATATTCGCCCAGGGGCTGGTTTCCTTCTTAGCTACCTTTCAAACCCCCGAATCATTGAGGCCAAGCCTCTCTATGCACAAGGGCCCGGTCGCCTTCAATTGTGGCCTTCACATGGGTATGGGTCAAAATGAAACCACCAGAGGACCGTTGGTTTTAGTCTTTCTTTCCATTTCCCAGGGTTCCGTTTTGGGGTTGCCCTATGTTTGACCCACCTCCACATCTCTCGCGCTGCCAACCTGTCCTTGTCCACCAAAATCTGCAAACCTCCATTGGACTCCTCATCCCCGCGGTCGCCTAGACTATCCGAACATCGAGTGCTTCCACCAACCTTTTGCCGACCAGCGGAACCTTTGAGAACTAAATCTTGGAGAAAAAATCACGGCCTGGCGTAATGTCAAATGGACTCACCGTGCCCTCTGAAGAAAACAAACACTTGAATTGGCAATCACCCCTGAATATTTGAACTAATCTTAACGAAAGCAGTTTGGGAAGCATCACCTGATTTTGCCAACACCTTAGCTTCACCAATTCTTAGGCGGATCTTGTCCTCTTCAAATCTGGAAAGCTTTTTCACTAGTCAAATAATATTCCGGATGTCCATGTCATGCGAGATTGCAGACGCAGCGCGCCTGGATCAACATCTGTTGACTCCAGTCCTTTAGGTGAAGCATCCATCACATGAAGCCGACTGCACATCCATGTTCTGCTGCGAGCAAGAGCAGGTTCTCGTCGCAAATCGATCCCCATCCCCAGCTATGTACCAGTGAAAAGGTATCGAACACCCTGAGAGCCGCCATGCCGAGAATCTTATAATCCCCTGCTGAGGACCTTTCAAACCGACATGTGAGGTTGCCAAAACCGACATGGGACGCCTTGCGGGAAAGTGGTGCGTCCTTTTGTGCCCCCCCCACCTGAAAGGAGGTCCCAACAAAAGGTGACTGTTTGTCAACCCCAACCCCGTCCATGTCGCAGATCTAGGGTGAAACATCATAATTTACCAACCCAAAATGAGAGTCCAAAACAAAAGCAACTTCACGGGTTTGCGCTCGTAAACCAAAGCCCTTTGTGGGTTGATCGCGTTCATTTCCGCATACGAACTCATCACAAGCCTATGGGTGAAATTTGTATCCTGTCTTGGGTTGTTTTGAAGGGGCATCACGGGGAACAAAGCTAACTTTGTGCGGTTCCCCCCGCATTCTAAACGAGGGAAGACCAAAATAGCAAGATGCCCAAGCGCGTGCGGCCTTTGCTGTGTCCCTGGCGCAGCCGTCCCATCCGAATCACAACCACACCCTGGAATAACAGAAAAGCGTTTCCCCAAAACCCCGTAAAAACCGTGCAACCAAAAAACATTCTGAACATGACTTGTTTGGACATGCCCCCATATTTCCGACATGTTCCCATATTCCCCCTATTGCTTCTATTTCCCAAACCCAGTTTGCCGCTTTTCCCCGTCCCATGGCATCCAAGCCCGAGCGGCTGGTGGTGATCAGCGCGAAGAGCGTGCGGTCCCAGTGGGGCTGGATCCTCGCCTTGCGCTCCCCAGGGTCTTTCAGCTGGGGCGGGTAGTGCGCAATGGTCACCTGCGAGTGAGGTCTGGATGGGGTGGCTTGGGCCTGGAGTGAACGGGAGATGGGAAAGCCGGAACCGGGGCTCCGTAAATAAGCCACGGCCAAATATACTAATCCTGTTTAACTGTTTGAAGGGCTCCCTATGCCAAGGCCATATGTCATGGGAAAATATGTGTGCCCCTTGCTGGTGTACTGTAAATCAAGTGAGCCCGCAGGCTCCTTCTATATTACGAACTGGACATGTTTACCGAACCTGCATTCTGCACATGTTTGGAGATATCTCACTTGCCTGAGAAGAGGGTCACACGTTCGGTTTTAGCGAACTGGTCAGATGGGATGCAGTTGAAAGCCCTGGAAACGGCGCGAACCGTGGCGGACACGCTAACGTTTCGGCATGTGTGTTTTCGGTTGAGCAATCGCGCACCATGTTGGTGCTTTGTTCGTGATTTTGAAGGGAAGCCAACAGTTGAGCCCAACCACTTTTGAGACACCAAAATGGAATCTAACCATCATAAGAGACACAAAACAATGTGACCAACCCCATGAGGCAACTTCCTGTGACAACCCATGAGGCAACTTCCTGAATGTACGAGAAATGGGGGCAAACCCCATGGCCTTTGATTCCTTGAGGCAAAACCCATGGCACCACTGTGTGTTGGTATTTTACAGGGGGAGTCGAAGCGAAACCTATGGCTAGGTTTCTCCAGAGAGGTTAGAATAAGTTGGTACCAACTTGTTTTCTGTAGGCTATTTTAGTAGGGGAAACCCTCCCCCAAAAAAAGAAACGGTAAAAGGGCACCTAGCTGGGGGGACCTAGACAGTTTCTGAGCTGTGCGAAACGGAGTTCGCCCCAGCCACATGCTGGGGCGAAACGGCTGAAAAAAGAATGTGGCAAGTTTCTCAGGCCGCGGCGGGCCAAATGGGCGCCCTCTTGGCGCGGGAGATGAAGAAGTCTTCTTGCTCGCCCATCGCGAGGGCAAAAAGCCTCGAGCTACATGAAAGGGTGGGTGAGTGTGTGTGTGTGTCTGTTGAGTATTTCTGGGATCATTTTAAGGAGCATCAAAGTAAAAACAAAACAAAAAAGCAAACAAACAACGCACACACACACATGCACAATAGGGGGGTTCCCTGAGTTCCCGAACTTGCAGGCAACCCCAGTCAGGATTTTCGGTAATTAAGACCTGCTCAAATAACAAAACAAAGACCCTGGAGGCCGTCAACAAAACGACGAAGGCATCTTCGCAACCGTCCATGCTCTTTATCATGCCCGTTTTACCGATCTTGGGTCAATACCAGGTTACACATCCCATGTTCTTGACCATACCCGCTCCAGCCGTTTTTCAGTAGTCGGGGGCCTCGCCCCGCAAATAAATTGCTTCATACATACACCCCCCCCTACATTTTTTTCATCTTCCATCTTCTACCCTTATTTGTTTTCATCATTTTTCTACATTCCTTTCTGTCCATCTCATCCGTTTTTTTCTCATCATTTTTCCAAAATTTTCGCCATCCTTTTCTCCTTCCTCCTCGCCTCATTCATTTCACCAACTACCCTCCAAAATGTCATTTCCTCAATCTCCTCACCTCATCCATTTCAAAAAAATAAATTTTGCAAAATATATTGCAAAAAATATTTGTCATCAAAAAAATATTCGAACTGTCTAAAAACGATTTGTCCATTTCCCGGACAAGAAATAGAACAGCAACAACATCACTCTCCTCCTTCGTTTCATCACTTTTATCATATATTTGTTTGGGGCGTGGTGTCCCTTGTAGGATTTTATCTTCAATATATAAAACGCTATACTTACATTATAATTATAACATATAAGGGTATAAATGTTATTATTATAGTATGACTAAATCGTTCCAGAAAAAATGAAATTGGGACTGGAGTCCCCGAAAATTGGGACTGGAGTCCCCGAAAATTGGGACTGGAGTCCCCGAAAATTGGGACTGGAGTCCCCGAATCCCATGCATTTGGGACTGGAGTCCCCGAAAATTGGGACTGGAGTCCCCGAAAATTGGGACCCGAATCCCCGAAAGTTGGGACTCCAATCCCCTAAACTTGGGACCCGAATCCCCGAATCCCACGAATTTGGGACTCGAAAATCCCACGCATTTGGGACTCGAATCCCCTATTTTTGGGACTGGTGTCTTGTTTCTTTAATCCGTCAAACTCACTAAGATTTCACAAATTAATTCGCTAGGTATTTTATATAATCTTCCTGTTTATGAAATACTGGATTGTCTCCCCATTCTGCTTTGGTTTTTGATGGTAGCCGTTGTGCAGTTTCAATATGTTTATTATTCCTGATGTTGCCACAATCCTTTTTACATAAATCTCTAGGTTTCCAAGTTGTAATGTTATTCCAGAGCCTAGTGCGTTTTCTGTAAGGCATTCCATATTTACAGTAATCTACATCTTTAAATTCAAACTCATCCATAAACTCCTGATGTTTTAATAATCCAGTTTGTGGATTTTCGATTACAAAATATTTAGGATTGAAATATTTGATAATCTCAATAGTTTTTAAGACAATACTATTTGCATATTCGATATTCCTAATTCCCCTAGTTTTTGCTACACTGTATTCAGTGCATGGGGGACTACTCCAAATAAAATCAAAATGGTTTCTGTCAAACTGTTTGTAATCCCACTCCAAAATATCAGTGTTGATATCAGCATTTTTCAAGTCTAATGATATTACATTAAATCCAAGCGACTTTGCTATGGTTCCGACGCTTTTTGTTCCGCTAAATAATTCTAATAAATTCATTTATTAGAATTATTTAGATATTAATTATTCAAATAATACATATACTTCATCATCATTTTTTGTAATTTTATAAAACTCTAATGTTTGTTGCTTTGGTTGTTTGATTTTTCCTGTATTCAACATATCACAGTATTTCTTTTGCTTTGTCGGGTAGTCGCCCGATGGTCTTCCTATAGATTTTGCTTGAAATATCTTTTCGATTTTTTCTTTATCTTCATTGCGTTCAACTGGTTTCATTTTGTCATCAATGGATTTAATCATATCATTTAAGGTTTTAATATTTTTACCAATTAATGTTATCTTCTTCATTAAATCATTAATAGTATAATTCTCATTTTCAGACATTACTATATATTTATTTAGATATTTATTTATTTAATTATATATTTTTCATCATTTGTTTAACAGTTTCCTGTGTTTCGTTTTCATTATTATCGGATGGTGTTGCTTGCCTACCAAATTTAAAAGTTATATTATGAACATCCGTTTCCAGATTTATACTGTCTTTAGTTTTATCAATATTCATTTTCTTATCATTTTTACTTATTTTGAAACTTGTTGGAACACATGAACATTTACAATTTTTATTATTTTTTATTTCTATCTCATTTTTAAGTTCTAACATCTTTTTGCACATAGGACAAGCAATCTCAAATACTGATGTTTCTTTAACAATTTCTCCGCTATCTTCATCTGTTGAAGAAACACTTAAACCTATCTTATTCTTTTTGTTTTTCTTTTTTGGCATTTATATTAATATTTATATTTTTAATATATTGTATCAAAAACTTAATTAATTCTAAAATAAAATAACATATTTTTTTACATCTATTATCAGTTATTAGTACTTGTTCTATATTCTCCATTTCATCTATTATATCAATATAGTCTGAATAACTCCTTTTCATATTAAATAATAAGATAAATTATTTTTCATTTCTGCCTTTCTCTTCTTGTAAAGTTTTTTCATTGTATCATCTTTATTCCACCTATATTCCACAAATTTCTGATGATGTTTTGAATTTAGATGTTTAAATAAATATTTGTCATCATAAGTTTTACAACAATTGCAATGGATAACAGTCATATAATAATAAGATAAAATAATTATTTAAATTATTTAATCTTATTATTTTCATGCATGATAGAATATTCGGAGGGCACAGCACTTGGGGTTTTCTTTACAACGCATCAAACTAATTAGCTTCAATGCTTATTAATTGAAGCAATGGAAAACCTGTTCCATTATGTTATTCACCGCCACTCATAACATAATGATGTTCCATTTAATATTAATTACAAGTTAATTTTTAAATATAATTTTCTATATTTCTTTAATATCAACTATATGACAGATGTTCCAATAATAAAACCAATAAACATAACTGAATATGAATTCAAACAATCTAAATATGAGCACGTGCCAAAATTACCATTTAGAAGTATTATAGTTGCGAGTTCGACAGGCGGGAAGACTGTCCTTATTCAAAATTTAATATTGAATGTTTATAGAAATTCATTTGCAAGAATATTTATATTTTCACCCAGCGTCCATAACGACCCAACTTTTACAGAAGTTAAAAAATATATCAGGGATGAATTGCACGTGGATGATGAAAAAGAACAAATTTATTTTGATAATTATAATCCAAGTGATTTAGAAAATGTAATTGAAAGACAGAAGAAAATAATTAATTATATGAAATCTAAAAAGATAAAGAAACTGCATTCAATATTAATCGTTATAGATGACCACGCAGACGACCCTAAATTTGTTAGATATAGTAAATTATTACATGGATTATTTACAAGAGGCAGGCACGATGCAGTAAGTGTGATTTGTTCAACACAAAAATACAATGTTTTGGCGCCTATCATTCGTTTAAATGCCAGTTCATTATATATTTTTAGGTTGAAAAATGCCAGTGAGCTAATGAGTTTTATTGAAGAAAATAGCGCCATTGTTGATAAACAGCAATTATTAGATATGTATCATCAAGCCGTTAATGACGCACCTTATTCTTTTTTCTACGTGAATATGAATGCTAAGAATGTGAATGACATGTTTTTTATCCGTTTTGAACATTCTTTTAAGATTACAAATGATGAATAAAGATATTCTAACTTAATATAATATAATAATATGCCAATGAAACTATGTAGATGTGGTGGATTGTATCGTAGACGTAATTATAATTTTCATACTAATTCTTGGATACATAAACTTTATAAGGCATTGAAGAGGAGGGCAACGGACGAGGAATTATTAAGATTTCAAAATAATTTTGTTGATGAAGACGCTTCGCCAGAGGCTCGCGAGCTTCGCGACGATTTAATAGATGATAGATGTAGCAATGCTTCAACAAAATTACCCGAAAGTGAAATGACAGATTATGATAGCAATTAATAATATTAATTATGTTTTAATATTATCAATTTAAATTAACGAAGCATTGCAAAATTGTAAAGCAGGAAGTTTATATATTAATTTGTCAGATTTTTCTTTTTCTATTTTCTCAATTCGTGCCACACATTCTTGAATAGATTTTATTATTAAAGTATCTGCTCTTGTTTTTTCATCTACTCTTAAAGTCTTAATGTCTTCCATACTGTTATTTGCATCATTTTTACTTTGACCAATACCCATTATATATAATATTATTTAGATTTTAATTTTTCAAAATTGAAATGTTGGTTTTCTTCTTTTTCTGAATCTTCGTCTTCAGTTGGTGCTGGTATTTCTGTTGGACTTTCAGATGAAGAACTATGAACAGTAATAGGTGGAGAACTATGAACACTAATAGCTTCATTTGATGAATTGCTACTGCTACTTTGTGCATTTCCTGCTGTTATCTGATTGACTAAATCTGCAATATTTATAGTTGTTGCAATTGTGCTGTGTGATAAGTTTAATATGATATCTGCTATTGTAGCGCCGTTGTGTAGCATTAATTCTATCATTTTTGTCAGATTGAACTTTTTTTCTTCTTCATCGCTGTCATCCTCGTCTGGTGGTTTCTTTGGCGGTGGTTCTGGCGGTTTGTTGTTGTCGAGCATTTTAGTAAAGGCTGACACCATCGCATCGCGTTGGTTTTTCAGTGTTTGTGTTGCTTGTGTTCTTGTTGGTTCATTTCTCTTGTGTGTGTTGTGCCAAAAGTTTTTAAGCATTATTTGAAACATATTGTCCTGGTTTTCCTTTACCTTA